ACTGGCATTCCCAATATAAGGAACTATGAGGCACGAATAGCTTAGTGATAGTAGACCAGATAACTGGCACGGGATAGTGCAAAATGAGTAACAATATAACGTTAACCAGCCTTAAAGAGTATTTATTATTCATATCTGTGACAAGATGTAATTCCGATGGTACTTTAAGATTTATTAGGCTAGAATCAGCAAGGCCAAACTGATGAAATATAGTCCGAGTAATCAAGCATGAATTGTGTATATGGAATTGTGGGGTAAAAATTCATTTTGTTAAAACAACTTCTTGCTATGCCTTGGAATACTATAGGCTGGAAATAACTTAAATAAAAAAGATCACAACTGATTCATTGTAAGTAGTATAAGGGATAATCGGCCTACTCGGCAAAAGGAGATGCACGGCTCGCCGAATATCATAGCCAGCTTTGTGCAACAGATCATGTGTATACTGCATAGTGATATCACGACTGGCAGCTGCAGTTGCTCCTAACAAAAAAGACTGCCGGACAACGGAGCTGGGATCGTGAGCACGTGCCCACAGCCCGACAGCCTTGACGAGCAGGCCAAACAGATCGGCGTCTGCGGGGTTGAGACGTGACCATTCTACAAAGCTAAGATGGCCCGAAATCTGGCCAGCTGATGCTTGATCGGTATCAGTACCGGACGCATGAGAAAACGCTGATGTTTTTGTGCCACAAGAGGAGTTAGGTTGTCCTGAAGGCACGCCGTTTTGAGATGAAGTGGCATTGAGAGCATTCGCGGTGAACTGGGGTGGAGGCAACCACCTAAGTGCCTCCCAAACCTGATCGAGACGGGGATCACGCTCACCTATCATGATTTAAAAAAATGAGACTAAGCAAATTATAACAAATAATAAATTGTAATTTAAAGATAATGATAAAAAAGAAGACCATATTTTAAGATGAATTTCAAGTATAATGTAAGTAAAAGCACAAAAACTAGAAGGGAGACAGATGAACCAAATAAATACCACTAATGAACACAATATTTGAACGTAGGTATGTATTTCGAAGAATCCCTTAATGGATTGATGTTGGAGTACCTTTCATTTCGTTTCAAGAGGCGAGTGGATAGGATTCGTAAATTGGTTCCACGGGAAGCCTTGGGGGGATTGCTTTGGAGCTGTGATTGTAGATTTGTGCGAAAAGGTCCTCGGCACACCAGATCGGGGTCGCAGGGCCCCGAATCCACTTACCTCTTTAAACGAAATAAAAGGTACTCCAATGTGACAATATTAAAACTCGATGGGCCTGTAGGTCCTTATAATATAACGGCCAAGGTTAAAGGCCATTATGATATAGTGGAGAATAAGATAGATGTTCAAGCTGCGAAAATCTTGGCTGTAATAAAGCATAGTTATATCCAGCGGAGCTAAAAGTATACCTTAAAAGAGCAAAACGATATCCCATTAACGGAAGGATTAAGGATAGTAAATAAATATTTGGTCACATGGTAAGGAAAATTTGAATTCGTCAGTTTAATTAATGAACTTGATGAAAGAATTAAATTTAAAATGGAGGTGGAGGATAAACGACTACCCTTTCTGGATATTGAATTAATGCGCTCCAAAGAGACACTCATGAGGAGACTATACAGAAAGAATTCATATGCAGGAATAATCCTTAATTTTCAGTCCCATC